TGGCCCCCGCCGGCTCTCGTCCGTTTGGGCGGCGGCGCGCCTGAAAAGTCGCCTCCGCTGGGATTGGGTGATGGGCCGAGCGGAGGGCGGTGCAGCTGCTCTCCGTGCGCCCGCCCCTCCTCCACTGCCCCAACCCAGTCGTTTTGAAGCTAAGAGTGAAAAAATAGGAGGAATTTGGGCGGAGAGCTCGGAGCTAAATATAGTCCTTTGTTGAGGTTTGCCAGAGGGCCTGCCTTCTGGGTGCCCAGGCACCACCGGCCCTAAAGGGAGCAGAAGGGGCTGGCTGCAGGTCTAGTCTTCAAGAAACAGCAAAGTTGCCAAGTTTTTTTGCGGGGAGGGGAGAGGGCTAGGACGTGGAAATGGACCACGTAGGCATCATCCCAGCCGAGGGCCTCAGGAAACGCCTTCGCTCTGGGGCGGCACCCGCGGGGGTGCAGGGAGACGCCTCGACTTGCCCGACTCTCGCTCCCTCCTGGCGGCGGGGAGATGTCGGGACCTGTCGCAGGCTCAGCGCTGCAGCCGGAGCCCCAGGGAAGGGGATGGCGGGGCCGAGCCGCGTGCACTCTGGCTCTGGGTGCTGCCTGCCTCTTGCGCCGCCACCGCCCCTGGTGCGGCCGTCCGCAGCGGAGAGGTGGACCCGCGGGTGCCAACACTTGGTTTCAGTGTCTGAGGCCACGTTTGCGAGTTAACCTTCTCCGAACCCGGGCTGTAGCCCGCAGTGTGCGTGTCTGCAGTGTGGACGCCTCGGCCACGGGACCCGGCGGGACGCGGGCAGCAGCCGGCGCCTTGGGTGGGTGGGTCGTGCCCACTCCTGCGCCCGGCCGGGCTGCTTGGTGGAAAAAGAGGGTTGAACCTTGATTATCGGAGTGCTTGGATGTAATTATGCTTATATAATTCTCCAGCTGGAGAAAAGCTCACAGCGGTTACCCAGCGTTTATGTCTGCCAAGCGTCTTACACATGCTGTCTCATGCAATCCTCATAATAATGATAATTATTATACCTACTTTAAAGATGAGGAAACTGAGGCCCTAAGCCATTCAGTCACTTCCCTGAGATTTCACTGCTGGTGATGGCCGAGCAGGGATCCCAGGCCAGGTGTTGGGCAGCAGAACCTGGTCTTGTAACCAACTGGCCATTCTATCTTCTCATAAGAAAGAAAGTTCCCGGATTTTACTCTTTCTTAGGTTGGATCTTGAGGCAGTGTGATCGGACCGGCTCTTAAACCCAAGCAAGAGGGACCACCCTCTCTCAGTGCCCCTTCCCACAGGGTCGAGGAGCCTGAACCCTCTTCTAGACTGGCCAGGTGGTCACAATTCTGGAATCTCTGCCCAAATAGTACCAAACCCTCGTCCAGGCTCTGCTTGGGCCTCAGAACTCACCCCTGCATCCAGGAATGGGTCTTGGTTGGGTATGGACAGTGCTTGGACCTGTGGGAGAGGGTGTGCCCCGCCCCTTACCACAGTGGGCCCCTCCAAGTGAAGGAGGAGGGGTCAGTGGAGTCAGCATGCCTTCCCTGCCACCTTCCAGCCTGTGGTTGGAGGAGGCCAAGCTTCATAATTCACACCTGGCCATCCACCTCCTTGCAAAGAGGTGTTTGTCACGGTGGGAGGATAGATCATGTTCTAGGTTTGTCTTGATTTATAATGTAAATACTTAGGTTAATGCCACGTGAGCCTCTGTTTGTGCTCTTGCCCACAAATGGTAGGTGTGGCTCTTGAGTAAGGTGTGGTAGAAAGTGTTTGTCCTCACAGGCCTGGTGTCTAATCTCAAGTGTTGGATATCAGTTATTATCTGAGACCTTGGGCCAGTCCCTTCAGCTCTCCTGACCTTAGTTTCACTATCTATAAAATGGTGATAATAAAATTTGCCCTACTCACCCAGCTACACGAGGGACCTTGGAGAGAATCTGGTGACCAAACCCCTCATTTCACATCAGAGAGAGCTGAGCGGAATTAGAACCCTGGTGTCCTGGCTGCCCTTTTCATGGTGCCAGACGGCCCTCAGGGACAATAATTAACAGATAATGGATGGGGACATGCTTTTAAAGCTGCAGCGCCTCATAAATTCGTGACAACTGCTACCCAGACCCAGGCGGCCTGAGAGCCCCATCTAGACGAGACCAGCCTCAGGACTCCGGTAGCCACGTGGACGAGCATTATTGAATCTTGGTGGCCTCTCCAGTACCAGGAGGATGCCGCAGTGTGAATACAGCTGTCCCTCAGTGTCCGAGGTAGGGTTGGTTCCTAGACCTCCCTCGGATGGTCAAGTCCCTGAGTCAGCCCTCCGTTACCAGGTTCCGCGCCTGCAGATTTCAACCAACCAAGGACGGAGTGCTGTGTTTAAGACAGGGGCCGTGGAAGCCACAGATACGAAGGGCTGATTGTACTTTCTGCTGGGGATTCTTCCATTTTTGTCTCCCACAGAAAGATTTGCACTGAAGCTTTGGGATTCAAAATGGAGTAATGGAATTGCTCACGCACGATTTTTTAAGGTTGGTCACTTCCTTCTCTGAAATGTGGTTGGAGTCTTTACTGACCTCACTTATGGCGTGAATCATTATCCTGTAGTATAATTATTTACATGTCTGCATCTTGTCTCCCAGCACCGTGTGAATTCCTTGAGGGCAGGGTCCGTATCTGGCTTATCTTTGGAGCCACCTCTGTCCCTCAGAACACCTAGTGCAGTGCCTACGTAGGAGGCCCTCAATATTTATTGATGAATATATATGAATGGCATTTTACTCCTTTTCCAAACTCTGTGTGTGGTAAAAGATTATATTAATCCTTGGTGAGAGATAAACATTTCCTGGATCCTTAGAAAAATGTATACTAATATTTCAGTCTCTGTGAGTCATAAGATGCTGGAGTGATCAAAGTCGACCCTTATTTGGGTGGAAACATTAAGTCAGTACTATCTTGGGGAAAGATACCAAAGCGTCCAATGGAGAGACCCTTTCTCTGAGGAAGACTTAACATTTGCAGAAAAGGCATTTCTAGAAAATAACCTAAAGGAAAAGCTGCCAGTAAGGATTGCTTAACCTCTGGTACCGAATGTCCCACAGTGGAGGGTCCTGGCCCTGGCCTTTGCTCGCATGGTGGGATGGCTCACCTTTTTCGACCCTCGGATGGGGCCTTCAGAGAATTAGCAGGTTTGTTAGAACATGAATCTTTTAAAGTCCTCAAGAAAATAAGTGCCCACCTGTCCTCTTCATTTATCCAAAGTAAGCCGAGGTTTATTTCATCATGGTCATAGTTTTAGCTGGTGCCTCCTATAGGTGAAGAAATGCTTCTAGTTTTGAAAACACCAAGGATAAGTCAATAGTGACCACGTATCATCATTTTAAAGGGAAGTATAAATATAACACTGTGCCTTGCAGAGTTCTCAACAGTATCTAAGTACTGAACATGTTATAAGGTAACTATGTATCCACCAGCAGGCTGAGGATATTTTTTTTGCCAGTGGTCTTTTTAACATAATCTCCAGTAATGCCCCTAAGAGTACTTTGAGTCAACCAAGCCTTCATCATTTCGTACTGCTCTTGTCACACTTTGGGCAGCCAATTGTAAGAGCAATGACTTGTACTACTTGTAATGAGATTTTGTCTCTTTAGATTTTAAAAATGTCCTGAAATCCTAGCTTCGGAATTAAAGCGAGACAAAGGTGGGCCTAGTTTTAAAATTTCAGTGTCTGCCTCTGTCACTTGTTCTCTGATTGGTTCCTTTTTTCTATTTTAATTATTTTTCAAAGGAAAGTGTAGGAGAGACTTAAATTTTAAATTAACCTCTTAAAATCATTCAAGCTTTTTACCAACTTTTT